TTCAAGTAGCAGACCAAACTTAATTTTTTTAAATCGAACGCCGTTCTTTTTGTGGCATATTCGAACTATGATAGTTTATTTTCAGAGAATACCAACATTACTATAGGATAGAAGTTCAACAAAAGTTACGGCCTTTAATATTTACAACTCTGGTATTTTGGATTTTTCGCTCCATTTCAAAATAAATGCAAAAGCGGGGTCTCCAAAGCTTAAGCAATATTGGTTTTAACTAAAAAAACAATTGAAAAAATAAGATTTATATCAAATAGGCCTAGAATTGTTAGTATAGTTTGATTATGCACTAAAAAGACTGGCGCGTAATTTAAAAAATTTGAATTTGGTTTGCCACTTGAATTTCATACACTTTGTATCAATCGGTATCATCTGAAAATAAACTGTCAATAACTAAGTCAATATTAACTATTAACTCAAAAACAGAAAATTAATGTAAAACATTTATATCGAATAGAACTGCACTTCGAGTTATAGTTCGAATATGCATTAAAAAGTACGGAATTCCATTTTAACAAATGTAAGTTTAGTCTGCCCCTTAATTGTGAGTATCTGTTGCTATTGTCTTAAACTAAACTACACGTTTATATCTACAGGCTTTAAACATGAAAATTTACTTATGAAAGACTCACCTTTGATCAGTTCATTACCACACAATGTCGACTGAGGTCGTAGGGTTGAGGCACCGGAAACTGGCGATCATGCAGGACTTTCATACAAGCGAACTCCTTGATCGCTAATCTGGCAGACAGGTTTAGCCAGGAAGCAGACCTTCTGTGGAAATTGACAAAAAATGTTTAAGGATTTCAGAAGGAAGAATTCGTCTCAAACAGTACCTTCTTTTGTGATGGTTAGGCTTGTTCACGCCCCTTTTGAAGGACAGTAATCCACGCCGGTGTAACTTGAGGCATCTTTCCTGTTCCCCAGCAGACACAATATAAATATTGCTCTCCTTCCCCACGCTAATCTGGTTTCCAAAAGCGTCGACAGAATCGCGTTTCCGCAAGGAGTTCAGCGCCAAATAGTCGTATCCAGAGACGTTGAGGCTTAACCCCTCAGGCCTGGTGCCTCTCTCGAACGACAGCAACTTATGTTTCTGCAGGTCACCAATTATTTTGCCTGTGCGCCAGTGCCTCAAACGGGCAATCGAAGCCACTTCGCCTATCGGCACCAGCGCGTGGAGCGCGTGGTTTTCCATGGCCTTTTCCACGGCGGTGAGAACTATAAAGTCGTCTATCGTGAGAAACCTCATCAAATTTACGTCCAATTTTACCATTTTAAACGATCGATTTCAAAACTTAGAAAATAGAAAGCACAGCAAATAAAAAACACCG